ATATACCATCTTTTATAGTCAACTTTTAAAGGTGCTAAATGAAATAGCACCAAGAGAACAAAAACTGATAAAATACTATTATAAAGAATGGTTTAATGAAAGGGTTAAAGAAGCAATTAGGGACCGAGATAATAGATACAGAAATTATAAAATAAGTAAAACGGAGGAAAACAAAAATATCTATAAACAGTGTAGAAATAGGGTTTTAATGGTAATAAGGGAAGAAAAGAAAATATTTTATCACAATAAAATTGATGATGTAAAGAATAATCCAAGAAAAATGTGGCAGACATTGAGTGAAGTAATTTCTGACAAAAAAGGGAATAAAATGAAAAAAATAGATATAGAAGGGGTAACTTATACTTCTTCAGAAGAAATGGCAGATGGGATAAATAAATATTTTGTTAATAGTGTGCTTCACATAGTTGATAGTATAGATAATACTTATTCAGAAATAAATTATGTATTTGATAAACCTAAAGATACCCTTAGTTCGTTCAAGATGATAGATCATGAAAAACTTCACGAGGTTTTATTTAGCTTACCAAATAAGGGTAGCCCTGACGATATAACATTAGATTTCATAAAAAACACTTTTGAAAATATTAAAAATCCTTTATTACATATTATTAATAGCTCACTGGAGGTTGGCAGGGTTCCATCATTGTTGAAGGTGGCAACTGTTATTCCTATACAAAAAGTTAGAGGGTCTATTAAAGTTGAAGACTTTAGACCAGTAAATATGTTAGGAACTATCGAAAAATTACTGGAAAAAGTGGTCTATGGTCAACTAGTTAGTTTTATTACAGCAAATAATGTATTGATAGAAAATCAGTCTGGGTTTAGAAAATTGCATAGCTGTGAAACTGCAATTCAGCACATTCTTCATGAGTGGAAAAATCTTCTGGATGAAAATTATGCAATTGGTGCTGTTTTTCTTGATTTGAAACGTGCTTTTGAAACAGTGAATAGGTCTATGTTAATAGCCAAATTGGAGAGATATGGTATAGCTGATAAAGCATTGGAGTGGCTTTGTAACTACTTGGACAAAAGATTGCAGGTAACCAAAATCAATGGACACACTTCGACCGAAATTTTAAATGACGTAGGCGTTCCGCAGGGTAGCACTTTGGGACCACTGCTATTTATCCTTTATATTAATGATATAAACAGATCAATAAAAAAATGTTCAGTCCATTTATTTGCAGATGACACACTGTTGTATTTCAAGTCTAAAGATATGAATGACCTAGTTGAGACCTTGAACATTGATTTGGAACACCTGCATGTATGGTTCAATATTAATTCTCTTAAATTGAACTTATCTAAAACAAAATTTATGTTAATAGGTGGTAGAGCAGATAAAGAATCAATTACACAAAATAATCTTCATGTTAAAATCAGTAGTCATATTATTGAGAGAGTAGAGACACATAAATATCTTGGATTTGTTGTTGACTCCTCACTTACATTTAGGGATCACATTTTGTATACAATCGAAAGAATTACCAAAGGTGTAAATTTTCTGTCTAGATTCACATCTTTTTTGTCACAATGGACCAAGCTTACTATCTATAATACTTTGATCTTACCACATTATATCTTTAGTTCCTCGATCCTGTACCTGTGTAACAAAAATGATCAGAACAGATTGCAAAAATTGCAAAATAGGGCAATGAGATTTATTTTACGTGAAAGGCGTGAAACGCCTATAAAGAATATGTTAGGAAAACTAAATTGGCTTTCTGTTGAAAAATTTCTTATTTACCAAAATATGTTGTTAATTTATAAAATGAAAAATGAGCTAACACCTTCATATTTGACTAAAAAATTAAGAAGTCATTCTTCTGTACATTCGTACCCTACTAGGAATCGTAACAATTTTTATGTTACAACAAAAAATAAAAAAGGAACTGAAAATGGTTTATACCATAAGGGTTTAATTTATTTTAATGCTTTGCCTCAACAAATAAAGGACGCCCCAAATATTAATTTATTTAAAAGAAAGTTAAAGATTCATCTTATGGGAGAATAATACAGTAATACTTGTTTCATCTTTGTTGTTTTTGTTGAATTTTGTATATCTTTGATTTCTGTGTTTTTCAAGACTTGCATGTTGTTTGTAAATCATTATATTTGTTGTTTACTATACACATTTTAAACTTAGGATTTCTATTTTTTTTTGTTTTTTATTATGTAATATGTAATGAACATGTAGGATAATGACGCAAGTGACATATTATATTTTATATTCTATTGTAGTTTTTTTAAATTGTTGCTATATATTTTTATTTTATATTTTATACTGTGTTTTGCATTATTGTAATTTGTATTTACTTGCATGATATTTTATTTTTTATTTTATTTTAGTAGGCGTATAATGTAGTATGTAATAATTAATTTGACTTGTATGTTCATTTATTTTTGTAATTAGCCAGGTGCTAAATAAAGGATTAATATATATATATATACTTAAACTAAAATCACTATTTTATTTTATTATCAAAAAAAAAAAGAATCCTAATGATAATTGTATGTTGAAGTTTCACAGAAAACCCCAAATTAGAATAATTATTGTTATCAAACATGACACAAGACACAATTCACAAATTATGTGATTAATTATGTATTAAGTAGGTATATTTTCTTAAGAAGTTTGAGAACTTTCAGCACATTTATCAAGAATTTTTAGAATATTCAGAACTTTCACGAGAAATTTGGGAATTTCGGGAAATTTGAGAAAAATCAGAATTTATTTAGAAAAATGTTTTGTTTTATTCAGCTTCTGATAAAAAGCATAAATTCTCGGGTCCTGCTCGTTTTTGCTCGTTTATTCTCGTTAATTCTCGATCGTGCTCGGAGAACGTTCTCCTAAAATACTTGCTCGAGCATTTTACATCACTACACATCACAATTGAATTTTATAGAAAATTTCATGGAATTTTATGAAATTTCATTGAAAATTTCATAGTGAATCATTTGAGTTTGAAAATTTCATGATAATTTGGAAATTTTCAGAAAAATTCAGAAATTTTGAAAATTTCACGGAAATTTCAAAAATTTCAATATTTCCATGAAAATTTCAGAGTGAAATTTCCAGATGAAGTGAAAAGTGAAATTTACCCAACCCTATCTACAGCATAATTAATATTGATAATAATACCCTTGATAATACCAATACAATGATAATTATTAAATTCTAACCTTGAACTAGCCATTTGAGTATTGGATAATGATATTAAATAATCTATGAGTGGAAAAAATATACGTTTTACACGGTTTTTTGCCCACTAGCTTCATCAAACATATTATTTATAGGTAGGTATATTAAATATACCTAAATATACCTATTTGAGTATTGTACCAAATTTATTATTTTTGATGTGATGAATAAAATGTATGAAAGTCGATATGAAATAGGCAGATTGGCTACAAAATTAATGTGTCTGCTGATGATAAAATATGAAAATATGAACAGTAAAAAAAACTGGACTAGTAAATGTAGTAAAACATCCAGTAAAAAAATGTAAAATTGTGGGTTTCACAATATTGACATTCAAATAAAAGCTTCTCATAAGGTTTATTATATTAGGTATTATCGAGGGAATTATTTAACAAACAGAACTAAAAACTAACTAAGTGCACAGTCTCAACAATTAACAAATTGTCTAACAAAACTATGAATTTACTAATATAATACATAAGAGAGAAATGCATAAATTATATAACAATATGGAAATTAGAAATCAAAATCGAACATAATAATTAATCATGCATAGGCATAATTGAATATTGTTGTCTATAAATTAGGTGCATAAAAACCCTATTCAATGTTAAAATTTTAGTTTTTAACAGGATACAATGAAATATAAAAGAAATAATCACTCACCAAGTTAACTGTGCCAAGTTTTAGTCGAAAATAAATGCTCCAATTCCAATTTTTGCTTGTTACTTCTCAATGTATTTAGTATAGGCCCCAGGCATACAAAAAATTTGAACAATATTTGCGCAAGTTGCCTTTCTCTTTCCGTGTACGCCCCAAGGGGGGATCAAAACATTCCTGGGTCACTTATGGGTTAAAAAAATCAAAAACTTAATATTTTTTTATCCACATTATTGAAACCAAATGTATGTAGATAGATGCAAAATTAAAAATAACACCGGACTGGTTAGTGGTTAAAACACAAATGCAATGCAATTAATGCAAATTCCAATTGGAAATATTTGATTATTTAATTTTTTTTCAAACAGCAGGAGGGGTGACAGGAATGTCATCGAAATGAGTGACAGTCAAGTGACACTAAGAGAAAAGGATAACTATAGTTTTGCTGGATAACAATTTTATTTGTCTTTCAGTCTGGAATTTATTAGAGAGACAAGGATAGATATAAACATTTTAAATTCATTGAATAGTTCCAAATGGATTTGAAATTGCAGAAAACTGCTTTATTAAAAAATTATTCAATTTGTTTTTATTAAATTATTTCTGGGCCTAGGGCCTAGGCAATGCACATTGCATAGAGTGAAATATGGATAAACTATTTTTAAGTAACCATTAAATGCTTTTATATATTTACCCTTTTGGTTAATTTTCTTTTATTTAAATTGGGCTTTCATCTATGTAATTATGTGAATTAGGGCCGGTTTCTCAATAGCAGGTCACCTCCAAGTTAAAATAGCTCCAAGGTAAACATTGCAAATTTACTTAACCCTGGAGTTAAAACCAACCTGGGGTGACTCGCTATTGAGAAACCGGCCTGTAAGGATTTTTGAAATACTTATAAGCCCAGCAGCTTAGTTTGATAGACCTCAAATTGGCCATTTCCCAATAGCTTATTTGTAATATAGAGTGAAGAATTTTGAGTATAAAAACTAGGCAATAAAAATTTTAAGAAACAAGTGTTCAATACTTAGAAGCAGATAAACCTAAACTGATTAATAAAAAGCCAAAAAATCACTTATCAAAACTTTTATTTGCTGTTTAGCATAACAAAAATTAACTATTTGCTATGATTGCTGGATCTGCTTTCGCGGGTGCTAGCAGAACGACGTCTCTTAGCTTCTTCCTTCTTGGCCTTGGATTCCTTCTTTCTTTGAGCCAACAACTTAGCATAGGTATCGGCTTCTTCCTTGCGTTTCAAGCACCTCTTCTTCTTCAGAGCCAAACGATGACGTTTGCGTTGCAAGACATCAGGAGTCACCAAACGTTGGATTTTTGGGGCCTTGTATCTCTGCTTGGTCTTGCCTTCCTTCAATGGAAGGGGGCGTTTTACGACGTACTGCCTAACATCGTCCTCCTTGTTCAAGTTGAACAACTTACGAATGTTGGAGGCACGTTTGGGGCCAAGTCTGCGGGGAATGGTGGTGTCGGTAAGTCCGGGGATTTCTTGTTCGCCTTTACGGACAACAACGAGAGCCAATACGGACAAGTTGCCGTCGACAATGCAACCACGAACAGATTTCCTCTTACGTTCACCCTGTCTTCTGGGTCTGTAGCAGGAGTGTCCCTTGGACAACAACAATCGAACACGGCTGTTGGTCAGGACACCTTGTTTCATTGGGAAACCTTGTTTATCGTTACCTCCAGCTACTTTGAGGACGTAGCCCTTCCATTCGTCACCTAATGGGTCAGCTTCGACTTCTTGTCCCATGCGCTTCTCATAGAAGATACGGATTTTGTGTTCGTCCACAACTTCGAAGAGTTTTTGACATCCCGTAGCGGGGTAGGATACGTTCAACTTCATTTTTAACTAGTTTTCAGTAAAAAAACGACTGGATTTAACTTGAAATTCACGATTTTTCGGCAATTAAAAACCGCATGGGCCAGCCATGTTAAACAAAATGACAGAACGTAGTTCAACTTTATTCCGTGAAAGGTGAAGTTTATAAAATGTGGTGGGGGGAGACGTTGCTTTCTTCTTTTTTTCATGGATTTTGCTTCAAGGCGTTTTCAGTTTTGGAGGCCGCGTTCCAAACAAATGATTCCACATTGAGATCCGAATCAATTTATTATTCCTGTTGCTCCAAATTACTGGAGCGATTGATCAAAAAGCAATCCAAAACGGCTTCACATGTTCGGCTTAAAACGGATACTTAGGGATCATCGGATTGACGGAAAAGGAAAAACGGATGCATGAAAAGTTTACCAAGGATAATACACACTACTACTACAGAATACTAGTGAAGGCGGGTATCATAAAACTGCTTTGACAGTTAACTGAAAGTTAACTTTTTGAATTACATGTAATTCCAGAAGTAAAGTTTAAGTTAACTCTCAAAGCAGTTTTATAATACCCACCCTAAGTCTATCTTCATAAATGCCGGTGTAGAACAAACCTGAAGCCCACCACTACGCCAAATCACCAGTTGTGACGTAGAAGCATGCAAGGATAATACACAGTACTAAAGATTGCTTATCGGTCTCGTTTTTGGTAATCGCCGCCATATTGGTGTATGACCATTGGCGACGTCATCAACTAAGGCGTCATAATAGGCAAATAGGAAGATTCGAACGAGATCTAAAAAAATGTTGTGTTAGAATGTTAATTAATGCAGTAAAACCAATGAACTAGTAAAACCAAGTATGTATAAAGCAAAAGCCCGCGGAATCATAACCTGTGGTGCAAACATCCTACGTCAAGGCGAGAAACGACATGCTGTTCCGTCACAACTTGTGATTTGGTGTGGTGAGAGCTACCTCAATGGGTGAGAGGCTTGAGATTTGATCTACACAGGCCTTATGAGGATAAGCTATCCTGTAGTAGTAATGTGTATTATAACTTTTGAATATTATAACGGTAAAATCCTTGGCCAGCATGCCCTTTCTCGCCTTGACGTAGGCTGTTTGTACCACAGGTCATGATTCCGCGGACTTTTGCTTTATGCATACTTGGTATTACTACATTATTCAACATTCTAAAACAATTCATTTTCAGATCTTGTTTTCATCCTCTTTGACTTAATCAAATTTAAGTAATATTTTTCATCATAGGCGGCGTTCCGTATCTTAGCCAGAGTTACCGATTGGTATGGAGCGGTTCGTCTATAGTGACAGTCTGGTTCCTGAAAATACGGTTTATGTGCGGAACCGCGTTTCATAACTTAACCAGATTTCGGGAGTGGTTAGGTTACGGAACCGGAACCGAAAAAACCAAGAATCTTGGTTAACTTACGGAACGTCGCCTTAATTCTAAACTACAATCGCTAGTGCAAACAGCTGACGACTTAGTTATGACGTCAGAAATGGTAACACAACAATATGGCGGCGATTACCAAAAACGAGGCCGATAAGCAATCCGTATTATGCGTTCGGTATTTTCATCTGAGTTCTCCGAGCTTCAATTTACCGTTCGTTTTTTTAAAAAGTGTACTCGATGCAGGCTCATTCGCGTTCATTTATTAATATTTCTGACACTCTAATAAAGCGTTCAACTGCTCCGTTCGCTCGCTGGTCACGTAATTACGGGTCCGCTCAGCATGCTCTGCTCTTTGAGCAAAATACCGAACGCAAGGTTAGTAGTGTGTAATAGTTGCATACCTTTCACACCTAGGAGGAGCTCCGGAACAGCTCTGGGGCCTTATTCTGTAAGGAACGAACCGTTCGATTCGGTAGAATTTCTTCGATTGTGACGTCATTTTCGGTTTAGTAGCGCGAAAACCAAACCAAAAATGACGTCACAATCGAAGAAATTCTACCGAATCGAACGGTTCGTTCTTACAGAATAAGGCCCCTAGCTACGCGCTTATTCCCTTCGAAAAGTGTTTGTTGCACCACGCATCGATTCCTCTTAAATCGGGGGTGGCTAACACCGGAGCGAGTAGCTCGGGGGTGCCTAACACCAGAGCGAGTAGCTCGGGGGCGCCTAACACCAGAGCGAGTAGCTCGGGTGTTCTAAACTCTTGAAATGAATACAACTATTATCCTTGGGTCTTTACTGCTCCCAAAGCGCAAGGATAATAGACACTGCTACACAAGATTGCTTATCGACTTCACTTTTGGGAATCGCGGCAGTGTAGCACCGTTGACAACATCATCAACGTCGTCAGCTGTTTACGCCAGCGGTCGTAGTTTAGAATAGGTATCATACATTCATGATGAAGAATATTATTTAATTCTGATCAACATGTTTCAGAATGTTAATTAGAGCGGGTATTATGAAACTATTTTTACAGAATAACTAAAAGGTTTTCTGGAACGAAGTTAACTTTTAGTTATTTGTCAAAAAATTACGCCCTGTAGGACCGAGCCAAGGATGATACACACTACTACTACAGGATGGCCTATCCTCATAAGGCTTGTGTGTAACAAATCCCCCCCTTCCCCCCTAGTCCAAACAACCAGTTGTGCCGTAAGCAGCATGGCTATTCTCGCCTTGACGTAGGCTGTTTAAACAGTTGACGACTTGTGATGACGTCGGCAATGGTTGGAAACCAATATGGCGGCGATTACCAAAAACAAGGCCGATAAGCACTCCTTAGAGAGTGTATTCTATTCTCCTTAGGACCGAGCCTCGGACGAGTATCGGCCTTCATATGGAAAACGAAATAAAGGTCTAGACACACAAATCCGGACCGTATAGGACCGAGGCTCGGATGAGTATCGGCAGTCATCCGGAGAACAAAATTACCGTTGAAATAAATCACTACAAAGAAAACGACCAAAACACTGACGAGCCTTGGTTATATGTGGCCTATAGAGGATCGAGCCGGAGCAACGGCGTTTCTCCTTCAAGGCTCGGTTCTGACACGGAACGGTCATGTGTGTCTCAACATTTATCCTTGCCCGAGCACGTCCTCTGGGCGGTAACGTCTCAGATCTCAGCAAGAATGCTACGAGAGCGATTAAAATTCAAACTAGGACACACCATTTGAAATTATAGCCAATTTAAACGAGGACACACCATCTGAAATTTATAGCCTATTCAAACGAGGACGCACCATTTGAAATTAATGGCCGAATGTACTTTATTGTTTTGATAAAACTCTTTGATCCATCGAATTTGACGGAGCAAGAAAGAGTGCTCCGTACGGGATTAGAGAGCGTTCATTTGCTCAAGCGAACACGTGAATCTCGCCAAGAGCAACGCTGAACGTTTCAGGCCGAACATGTGATTTCGTTTCGGATCGCTTTTTGATCAATCGGGTACAAACTATTTATCTTTTGTGAGACGTGGCGTGCAGAGTTTGCGAATTACCATACCGTAGCTTTGCTGCCAGAGTCGCTTTCCAGTGACGCACTTTAAGCACTCCTGAGCTGCTCTAGAGCGCCCCGGACTATTTATAAGTACCTACCTATTTTATTAAATTCGTAATATGTAATTTGAAAAAAAAAAAAAAAAAGAATGTTTTTCTGCGATCGACAAGAAATGTCATCATTTTTGACCGGTTGACAGGTCGCAAAAATGATCTGGTATTTTCAATGGTTGCTAAAGGAATCGATGAATAACAGTACGGAAACCATTTTTTTATTATACTTGAAAACACCTCTTTTCCACCTGTCTCAACAATAAAGTAAAGGTGACATTTCCAGAACAGCGCACGGAATTTTTTTCCCGATCTCTGTTTCCGTGCGCTGAGCAGATTAGACGTCAGTCAATATTGCATCCTTGTCATTCATTAGAAATTAAACAAAGATATCTTATTATAAATGCACCCCGAAAAATAAAAAACGATTAAAGTTTCTGTGACAACCCCATCATTTTACCTATGCAGTCGTGGGCATTGAAAGTGGAACACCCGATTTTTCCTAGTGTAAAACGAACTCACCAGCCATACTTACGGCAATGACAGGAGGGATTGTCATATTGGACAAAAAAATCCATTTAAGAGAAAAGACTGATTCACCCAAAATAGCGAAAAATGACAAGACCTGTGAGTCGGGTGTCCACTTTCAATGCTCACTACTGTACCCTTTTTTGACATTTTATTTCCTGTAAAATTCATGTCATTTTAAAAAATGGGAATTTTCTGTTTTTATCGTTTTCAGATAAGTATAATAAAAAATATCGTTCATTACACGTCCAGAAATGGATTTTTCCGTTCTTGCATGACTTCCCGTGCTCGGCTGCGCCTCACACGAGAATTTGTCACGCGCGCACGGAAAAATCCTTTTTTCTGGACTGGTAATGAAATATATTATTCCGGCCTAGGCCGGGAAAGTGATTGCTAAGGAATCAATGGATAACAGTACGAGAATCACTTTTCCGGCCGAGGACGGGAAAGTGTGCTGATTTTTAGGAACAACACAGAAGCATTCCCATTATTTCCATTACTAAGCGGTCGCAGAAAAAATAGTAGGTACCTATGTGTATTTCAGAGGAAAAGCACATTCTCGGCCTTCGGTGTTTGCTGGTCTCGGCTGCGCCTGGCCCGTCAACTTACACCGTCGGCCGAGAATGTGTCACTTTTCCACACAATATACTATTTTTGAAGGCTTAAAATTACCGTTTTTGGGCGTGGCACCTAGAGAAAACTCCGGAGGGGTCAATGGCGATGAGGGGGTTGATTTAATCTTGCACCGAGGCCCCCTGATGTCAAGTTACGCTACTGTTATAGATTCTTGTTCTTTCGATGCTACAGACCTTGCGTTCGGTATTATGCTCAAAGAGCTAAGCGGGCTGAAGCTGGGGCTGCCATCAGTGCTATCCGTCCGGATTTCCCCGGATTTGTCCTAGATTTAAAGGCGTCCGGGGGGATTTTTTGAAGTTATCCGTGTTTTACGTTATACGGCATCTTGAAAAAAATC